TGATGATTCGCGTCAGATACGTAATACGTCTCAATCTGAAAATGGAATAGTTTTAATTTTGAAATGAACAATTCCCCTGACTTTATCCGTCAATTTTGAAGTACGGAAGACGGATTATCCGTTACAGATAGCCTGTGTACAGCCGCAACCTCCCCGCAGAAAAAATCGGAGAAGGGGTGTCTAACGCTGTGGAGGAGGGGGCGACTGTACACAGGCTAGTCTGGATAATCCCTTTCTAGCTCTCGTGTGAAAACGGCCAATGACAAAATTCCCGTGTCCAGTGTTTTTAATGATAGCGAAGGACTGTACAAAACGACTGCCTGTCGTTGCCTTGTCCGTAGACCTCATTATTCCGCGCGGCTAATGCGTTTCGGGTCACGTGGTCCGAGCGAGTTCGCCACCGAAATGCCTTGACCGAGATTGCGTGGGAAGACGCCGTACATGCAGGGACTAGGCACGGCAATGTCTACCGTAGCGTCAGAGAAAAACAGGAAAATGTTGTTTATCGCGGATCGGCAACGTGTTTTACAAACAGCTCTGCGTGTTTTTTCACTAGTGTTTCGAGGGCACGACCTTCTGAAAATCGCAAATATTAATTCCCAGCAAGAAGCCCTCTTTCGCTATAGGAAAAATTAGTTCCCCGAGATAGCGGCGGAAATGGAGCCTAGGTCTTGGTCAACACCTAAAAGGCTTTTCGCCTAACGTGCGTACGGAGTCAAAGTAGCCGGAAAATGAAAAACGCAACCATAAGCGAGTTAAGCACCTTCCTTAAAATTAACAAATCTAGGGGACAATTTCTTTTACGGTTAACTCTTTTTTACCCAATTTACGGCTAACGGTTAAAATTTTTCAATTTTTACGGCTATCGACAAAATTTTTGGCCGTTTTACGCCTATCGGTTAACCCCATTGAGACCCTCTTGTATAAACCCGACGGCATAGCGTTTAAGTCCAAAATAAAACGATGAAAAAAACGGGTATTTAATAAAAATAATTGAAATAGGCTGCTCTGGGCATGGATTTATACTCGTGATTGCTTCTACTGCCGGTAAAGTAGATGATCAACGAACTTCCTGTAGCTAATATCCCAATATGCAAAGATAATTGCCGGTATACATTTGTGTCCGGGTAAGGTGTTTCCTTCTCAGTTCAAAACTATCCCACGTTAGGCGAATTGTCTTTATCAGAGCCACAAATCAGATGTGTGGCTCTTTTCTGTATCGCCTCTATTTCAGCTTTAACATATTTCGCTCTAGAATGAATTATCATCACAACTCAACTGCTAGTTTTCAATTGATCCGACTAGTTAAAAGTGGAGATGTAAGTCTTAATCCTGGTCCCGCTGCTATTCCAGTTGTAATTGGTAATCGACGTCCGACAAACTGTTATCCTGCTAATGCCACTCGTAGCTATGTTTCACCGCGTTTGTGTGGCTTGGACAACTTGAGAAATGTTCAACGACAATCTGATTTTGTATCTCACAGATATATTTCCTGCTGTGTTCAGCTTTGCCTGCTTAATGTAAGATCTGTTAAGAATAAGGCGATGATAGTGAAAGACTATGTTGTGGACAAGGATATTGATATTATGGCTTTAACAGAAACATGGCTGCGACCTGGAAATACCAATGATGTTGAAGTGGGAACTTTGTGCCCTACCGGCTATAGGTTCCTACACGTTCCAAGATCTCATTCCAGGGGAGGAGGAGTTGGTATGTTATTTAAAGACAATCTTAATATCAACTCCTCAATGTGTGACACCTTTCAGTCATTTGAATTCATGGATGTCCGTCTCAGAAGCCTTCAGTGTATTAGGATCCTGGTTATTTATCGTCCACCCGACAACAACTCCTGTTTGCTTTTCTTTGAAGAGTTCTCTAGATTACTAGAGCAAATTGCTGCTGAGCCTTCGGGATGTTTATTAATAACGGGTGACTTCAATTTCCACATGGATGATCCAGACAATGCTAATGCCAAGCGGTTTGCAGACCTTCTTGAGGCATATGATCTGAAACAACATGTCAATTGTGGAACTCATGCCAGTGGCCATACCCTTGATTTAGTCATTACAAGATCAGATGACTCACTTATCAAGGGTACCAAAGTTAAGGATCCTGTTATTTCGGATCATCTTGCAATTCATTGTGTGTTATCTATTCAGAAACCACAATTTAGAAAAAAATTGATTAACTTCCGGAAATTACACTCCTTAAATATGGACTCCTTTTGTAAGGACATTATGGATTCTCCTCTGTTACAAGATCAAGCTACAGACTTAGATACGATGGTAGATCAGTATGATAGGGTTCTGCGACAGTTATTGGACCAACATGCTCCAAAAAAGAAACGTCAGGTAACTGTAAGGCCATCTGCACCGTGGTATACATCGGATGTCGTTGCTGAGAAAAGGAAAAGGAGAAGACTGGAACGGAGGTGGCGTGCTTCGCGGCTACAGTGTGACCGGGATCAATATGTTCGTCAATGCTGTGTGGTTAACAACCT